GGGGACTGGCAGAGGGCGGCGGCAGCAGCAGCGGTGGCGGCTGCAGCGGCAGCACGAGCAGCGGAGGAGGCGCCGGCGGAAGCAGCAGCAGCAGCAGCAGAAGCAGCAGCGCGCAGCAGCAGCTTCCGCAGCAGCACAACGTTTCGCGGGAGAACCTTCCGCAGCAGCATGCGCAGCATCCGCAGCAGCATCCGCAGCATCCGCAGCAGCATCCGCAGCAAACGGGACTGGAAGAAGAGCATTCGGCGCATCGGGCGGACACTGCGCACGTGGCGGCGCAGCAGCGCAGCAGCAGCGCAGCAGCAGCAGCAGCAGCAGCAGCAAGAACTCGATGACCACGCCCTCGCCTCCCCTGAAGACATCGAAGGCGTTTTGGGTTCTTATGAAAAAACCAAAAAGTGGTGGCACAGAATTGTGACTTCCAACTTCAGTCCCCTCTCCAACCGAAACAGCGTGGCCAACCTGCTGCTCCGTGCGCCCCTGCTGCTGCTGCTGCTGCTGCTGCTGCTGTGTTGCTGCGGCTGCTGCTGATGCTGATATCCTTGCGCCGCTGAAGCTGGTGTCCTGCTGCTGCTGATGTCCTGCCCTTGCTGATGTCCTGCTCCTGCTGATGTTCTGTTGCTGCTGATGTCCTGCTGCTTCTGATGTCCTGCTGCTGCTGCTGCTGCTGCAGAAATGCAAGGGCGCCTATGGCCCGAGGTGAAGACTGCAGCAGAGCTGCTGCTGCCGGTCACTGCGCTTCGGGCGCTGCAAGCCACAGGAAGGCCCGAGCCGGTGCTCTATTCCTTGGGCTCCTCGCGTAAGTGCTGCTGCTGCTGCTGCTGCTGCTGGTTGCTGTGTGGGTTGTTGCTGCTGCGTCGGGCGCTGGCGCTAGGCCGTGCTTGCTGCTCTGCAGGGTTTAGGGTTTAGGGTTTAGGGTTTAGGGTTTGCCTTGGGGGCGTGTGTTGGCCGCTTTTGCCTCGCCCCCGCCAGAACACCCGCTGCTGCCGCTGCTGCTGCTGCTGCTGCTGC